TTCCAATGTTTGGTTGGAATATAAGCAAATGATGACTAAATGCAAAGTTAAAGAACGTGTGGTTCAGTTCACAGGGCAACCTCAAATACAGAGATGGTTATGATGATAAGAGAAGCCGTGCCTTTCATTGAGAAACACAAAGAGAAAATAGCTTATTTGTGGCATTCTTTTGTTAAGGATTGTACTTAAAAATACCTGTGAATGTCTCAGAGAAGCACAAGGCCACCTTGCAGAAACAAACAGTGATTAATAAGTGGCATTAGTAATAACTGGAATTGATTACAACCCAGAGAATGCAAAAAGGATATATTTCCATTACTCCTATCATTTTTACACCTGTTTTAGTTACTGCATTATTTCATTCTTACTGTGAAAGAAGGAAATAGTAAAGATTGTCTTTATTATTAATGGGTAAGAATTTCAAAAGGCATCTCTATTGAGGTTTTGGTACTTGGCAGATGTAAATAAATTTAATTGGTTGATTAATCAGTTTAAAAATAATAATTAATCAACTGAAAATGTTTAAGCAATGGAGGGGCTCTGAATTTTGGCGCCATACAGGATACCACTGAAATTTGAGACCCTAGCATCTGCCTAGGTTAACTATTACAGTATCTCTTACAAATGGGAGAAGGCAAATTTTGTAATCTGCTGAGCACATGCTGGGGGAAAAACACATTTGATTTTTAAAATTCATCATAAGCCAAAAAGAAGCAACAGCTTTAAATTGAACCATTCATTGACAAAAATATTAACAGTATTGCAGTAAACCTATTGCAGGTATATCCAGAATGACAATTAATTAAAATAAGGAACATTGCTATAGCCCATCAGTTGGGGAAAAAGAAAAAAATTATGCAATGGGGTACAAGTTTTCTGATTATGTTGTTTCCAATAATCTACAATAAGATGTTGAGCTTTAGTGAAGCTGTATTTATTTGGCTGCAGAAACACAACTCCTTGTCATAAACTGTGCCTGACACTTTTCTGTATCTGGTAGTGGTGGCAGGGCTTAGTCTCTGTTATTCTTTATGCATCTCTCTTTCTTTTCAGGTAATTGTATTCTCCACAGCTCTCCTGACACCACTTAGCCTTCTGGAGCTGCTGTTTGCCACGGACCGTCTCCAGCCAGACATTGGCATTTGATAAGCCAAGAGTCTTATCAGAGAAGATGAGCACCAAGCCCAACTCACCAGAAAAATATCAAAACCCCTTGGCGTTCTATCCCATGAGACATTCCTGCAGAAAATGAGAGGTTCTGACATTACTCCTGATCTTGATCTGAACATTGGGGGAATTGCTTTTATAGCTGCCAACAAGAGAAAAGTACCTACGCTAAGATAGCACTTGAAAATCTGTTCATTAGTCCTGTGACGTCAAGCCAACTTTAAGTTCTTCTCTCTGCAGTGATGCTGCGTTTAACTGAAATTCTTTCTTTCTTGCTGGCAACTACAGGGTAAAGGTTCCTCACTGTCCATATCAGTCTCATTGGAGCATCGCAGAACCACTGAAGATGACTATCGGTGCTTCCATTTCTATGCTGAACTTTTCCTTCGTTTTCTTTTATACTGAGCTTTTCCTTCCATCTTGCTTATGCAGTTGGCTGGCTTGTGATATAAGATACCCCTGGAGAAAATGTTGGGTCTGTTTGAACAGAATATGTCAGTGACAACAAAGTGTGCCTTAATGTCTTCTTCACAATCTCTAATATAGTGAGCTCTAATGTTGGGCCTCTTAAGTGAGATGAGCGCACAACCCTAGAGTCGGACATGACTGGCCCGTACGGGCAGGGGTACCTTTACCTTAATGTTGGGCAGCTTTCATAATGGCAACCAACAGACATCACTGAGGAAAGAGGGAGGATTGGGATTGCCTATCAGTGCTTTCCAAAAAAATTTTTTTTAATCTTCTATTGGTCCATTATGGAGTCACTCTCTTCAGTGGTGTCCATCTCAGTGGTGCTACACAGAAGGTAAATATCAAGCCTTTGATAGCTAAGCATACATTAATATACTACAGAATCAGCCCAGTGTGATTGGACATTTAGGGTGTTGGAAAGCTGAACACCCAAATGAGGTAGGATTGTTTCAGCACACTTGCCCCAGGCCTCTGAGGTCTAAGCCGGCTTCAAGGGCTCACCTGCTGAACTTACACTGTCATACTGAGCAAAAAACTCATGGGCCTGCGTTGTCATCTAGACACAGGGTCAGTTTATACATTCAGTAGATACATACGATAAAAGCTTCTGGACCTTCCTACTTCAACTCAGTTGCTTCCTCCAATGAAAAACCTTCCCTTCCTTTAACAAACTAGCATGTGAGAGAGAGGGGTTCAGCATAGACATCTCCCAGTCATGGCTAGTTTTCTATATGGAGTATCCCCCACAATTGCATGTATTATTGGACTTCTAGCCTGCTCCATCCCAAATGTTGAGGGTGGTCACAATATGCTAACTATTCTCCCTTAGACATTGCCACCAAATTCATTCAAACATGAAACCTGCCACCACTGCATGCTGAAGTCAGTCTTTTCCACTTTTGGCTACTGAATGTAGAACATTTATAGAAGAAGCCACATGCAAAGAGCTTGTTAGTCCAGACCAGGGTTTATTGGATGAAATGGTTACTTAGTGTCTTCTGTTATAAAAGAACCAGATAAAAATTTGTAGCAGGTTTAACATTATAAGGCTACAGCTAATCTTTCTCTTACAGCAAGTTTTCTGGAAAAAACAATGGTAGAATAGTTTAAGATTAGGAAAGAATGCCTAGCAAATCAAGCAGAGAAACAAAATTTTCTTTTCTGAATTGCATATGAGATTTTCCTCCAGGCAGCTAGTGATTCTTTGCTGCAGTTTACAGTGTTAGAATACAGCGAGGCACTGCCTTTTTCCAGTGTAACCCAGCAAATATTTATGTGGACCACCAGTTTAGGCCTTCTCCAGTCTAGTAGATGCTGATCATCCCATTTTTAAAGCCATTTCATTTCATGGCCCTTCATGAAGGTAATCTAAATTGGGCTCTAACCCAGCTAACAAAAGGGGAACAATGGACAAAGTTTTCTTAAATGAAAAGGACACATTTTGTAGCATTTACTTATGGCAATAGACATTGGATGCACCTCGCAGGCTGCATTTGATAGACAGGTGACAAATCATATCTGTATAGCTATTTGTTTTGAAGCACTTGGAGAAGACAAAAGAAAAAGCTGGCAGTCTCCATGGTTACCATCGCAGTTCTGCTACACTGCGTTAATAGACGTCAGTATTTTGGAGATTAAGCAGGAAAACGGGCATATGGCAGAAATGATGCATCTTTTCTTTGTCTCCTTGATGGGATTGGAAACCCAGACCAGTTTTCTGCCCGTTGGTGGCTGCCCCAAGGCTGTTGGGAAGCCAGACCTTCATTCATTCAATGGCTGCTCCTCTCTGTTCATGATGGTTCTCGCATGCAGAGGACCAAGGCTTAACTGTAGCATGGGTTTAGACTCAAGACATAAAAGTTGGGGCTTGCTTTGCAGGACCACTGTGTATTGTGTGTAATGGAAAAGACCACACAATGCTTGTACAGAATTTCTGATGCCATTGTCACAAGTGAACGGGCATGAATAGCTCTCAAAATGTGGGAAATACAGATTTAGGCAGTGGGAAGAGACCCATCGGAACAATGAGAGTCCCTGTCTTGACAAGGGATACTCCCAGTACTCTGAAAAAGTCTTGATATACAATAGCCTTTTTTTCTTTTTGTTTTTTAGGATGAGGTAAAGGAGGACTGTGCAGATTTTCTACTACACAGTCTTCAGCGTCTTAGGAATGACAGAACGATGCCAATAATCAGGTCAAAAAGGGTTTAAGAGGCAGGTGATTTTGCATAATACAGTAACTGCTTTAGTTGCTGCAGTACAAGTCTGTATTACAGAAGTCTGCAGTTGGGGACAGCAGAAGACTGCTGCAAAGGCAAGTCCTGATCATCTGTATTTGTGTTGTGTTACTGAAATCAGAGAGACACTAATCCCTGCAAACCGTCACTGGCCAAGCCAATGATTGAAGGTCCTCTTAAGCCCTTGAGTGCCTTTAGGTGACTTCCCTGTCTCTCACGCGTCTTGCCACTCATTTCTAGCATCTGAATATAAAACACAACAATCAGATGAGAAAACAAAGTTTGGTTTAATCACGGGAACAAAATGAAGATGTCCCATTTAAAGAGTTGCTGTCAACATAAAAATAAATAAGTTACAGCTTAAGGAACAAGCACGGTGTTTGTTTGTTTTTAAAGTGCATTGGTGTCGGGCGCATAGTCCTCAAATCCTGGATAACACGACTGATAATTCAGTGTTTTCAAATGTTACTACAAAGAGCACTTATGCAATAGTGGAATAGCCCTCATGCCTTAGCTGGAGATAAGTCTCAGCTAAAATGGAACAGTTTCATGGACTAAGACAAATAATTGGATTGGATTGAAACAATAGGAAGTTGTATTCCTGTTCAGAGCAATTAAGTGGGAACTTTACAATCCTCATGATGAGTGGAATACAGAAAAAGGTCTTATCTGGAAAGCTGCAGCATTGCATCAGATGACCAGTCTCTGAAGAATCATCAAGATGATAGTGTCTTAGAGACAGTGAAAAAAAACTTAGCTATCTAAAAATGATACTAAACAGCAGTTGTGGTACCAAAATGTCTCATCACACCATCAGAAATACACTTAATAATGCCCCCCGCATTTTATACTGACATTTCTTTTACTGATTCAGTGACATACTTGTGCTTCTAAACCAGGGGTAGGCAACCTAAGGCCCAGGGGCCGGAAGCAGCCCAATCACCTTCTAAATCCAGCCCGCGGACGGTCCAGGAATCAGCGTGTTTTTACATGAGTAGAATGTGTGCTTTTATTTAAAATGCATCTCTGGGTTATTTGTGGGGCATAGGAATTCGTTCATTCCCCCCCCAAAAAAATTTATTTACATATATATATATATATATATATATATATATATATATATTTTATATATATATATATATATATATATATATATATAGTCCTGCCCACCACATGGCTTGAGGGTCGGTGGACTGGCCCACGGCTGAAAAAGGTTGCTGACCCCTGTTCAAAACCATGGGTTTTTAAAAAGCAGGTGGCTCCATTGAAGACTACTAAAGAAGCCAGCCTTCCACCAAATACCAAAATATAGCTAATGGATGTAACACACAATTTGTTCCCCATCAGTAAGACTGCATTCAGAATATTTCTTCCCTGTCCTTCATTATGTAAGTATGATACAAATACCAACATGACCTAACTTCCACAGCAGAACATGAAAATATTGTCCATTTAGTCAATCAGATGCGCTTGCAACAAGAAATTCTACGCTCCACCACTTCCTTGGGGGCTTATTCAAGCTTCAGTGTTACTCCTTCATTACAAAATGCTTTATGTGCATCTGAACTCTTTCTCTCGCACGATTTTCGGATGCTGAAGTACCAGCAATTAACGTTCCAAAGCTGGAACTATAGAAATATGCACTGGGAAAGGGGAGGGAAACCCCATCCCATTTAGTTTGATCTTTCAGACAGATGTGACAGTCCTCACTTTGGCAGATAAGGCTTGCTTAAACCTTCTCTTTAGATCCTGCATGTTGGGTGACTTTGGTCTTGGAATGAGAGAGCTTCTCCTCTTCTCTGGCGTGCTGCTGGTGGTTTGTTGCTTACAGACATCTTTACAGAGGTTGTGGAAGGCATTGAAGACCTCCTTGTAATTCTCACTGACAGACACCTCATAGAAAGTGCAACCCAACATGCCAGCCAACTGCAGTCCATTTTGTGGTTCTACCTCTTTAACGTGGAGGAGATCTGCTTTGTTTGCTACAACCACCACAGGCACTCTGTTTCCTGGGTGCAGCTGCCGTATGTGCTGGTGGAAGCGACCGAGTAGTTCATAACTCTTATAGTCTGTGATTGAAAAGACTATCACAATTGCATCTGCCCAGCGAATACATTTGTTCAGTTGCTCATTACAGTCAAGGCTGTGTCCATGGACCTGGGGGAGAAAAAAAGATTAAGTAGGGGAAATATTTGGCTGCAAAGGAAAGCTTACAATGTCCATTACATGTTTATTATTGCATGTTGTCTCTAAAATTTTAATCCACATTTCCACATGTTAGTCCAGTTGCAAAAAAATAAAATAAAAAATGCTACACTCAATTATTGCAAAGTCTGCCATATTCAAGCTGTACCCTGCCTCGAGAAAAAGACTTTGTGGTGCCGTAGAATGGGAAATTAACTGGCTAGACAGTGAGTCGGGAGTGGGGAGAAAAGAACAAAGGTATGAGCTGGAAACATTTAAAGTTGGAGAACGGCCCAGTTCAAAAAGGCAAAATTTGCCCTTACTCATGCCTATACGTTCAAACTTTCCATAATATAAACTCAACTCCTAACAAATTTTAATGAGTGCAGCTGCCAGGGCTGTGACTTTTAGTTTCTTTTGCATATGTGTTTATGAAACTAAAGTTGATTAGGCTATAGCAATGAAATTTCTTTCCAGATTTCCAGTGCACTTTAGTAGAATAATAAAAATGAAGTGTTTCTTAGTTTGCCAAGGAACTGTTTTTAACACATTCGTGTTTTCCCCCCTTTCTTTTAAGAAAGGCAGGTTTCCTAAACACGATGGTTGTGTCTTCAAGTAGACAAAAGTTTAGCTGAAATTGTGGATTGTTTTCTTTTACTGTCAGGGGACGATATACAGACCATTTATCAAGGTCTGACTGTTTACAACTCTAGTTAATAGCAACAAAACAGTTTTTCAATGCAGCTAGGCTCCCAATTCAAACAGCTACGATCCTTGCACATCTACTTGGAAGTAAAGCCCTACTGGGATTCTTATGAATCAATATATGTAACAATGAACTTCTTGAAGTGTGCCAAAATTGAAGCTCCCCTTTAAAGTGGTACAAGGCACAGGAACATAACTCACCTGTACTCCAGGTGTATCTTGGACTTGAATTGCAAACAACTCTCCATCAATTTCGATCTGTCTGCTGTACAAATTACCTAGAAATAAAAATGCAGTTCATCAGACAAGTTCAGAGAGGGGGTTGTACATGCACTATAAACTGACATTCATTAACCTCTGCACAATGAAAAGGAAAAAAGCTCATTAGTGGAGATGGATCTGTGACTTGTTGAAAAAAAGTGGCATTTTTGCTACATTAGGCAGATGGTGTTTTCATCATAAGAAAGACTGACTGTACAATCCTGCCCATGTCTGCTCAGAAATTCATCCCACTGAGTTCAGTGGGATGTACTCCCAGGTAAGTGTTTACAGCCTAAACACAGCAAAGCATGGCGTATATGAGCAAAAAAACCACACAACAGAATTCTTAGTAATTGGCTTCACTTACAAAGCTAAAATGCTGAAGCAAACCTACATAAAAACCTCTTGGCAGAGTTAACCTTTGGAAAAAGTTAGTTGTCTAGCCCCTTTTTACGGGAAGCACATTCCTAGCCAAACTTAAGCTCATTTAAGTTTCACTGAGTCCAAGAAGAAAGTTAAGGATGTGCTTGAAATCAGTTACACTGGAACTAGCAGGATTTCAACGTTCCACACTGGAGCATGCTGTCCTTCCTTGACAATGTGGGATCTTGCGTGGTCACAGAACTTTTTCACTCAAATCAGCCTGCTGTTAAAAAACAACCACCCTCAAATCAATGTGTCCCAGTGGCGTAGCGTGGGGGGTGCAGGGGGGGCCGGCAGCACCGGGCGCAACATCTGGGGGCGCACTCTCAGCTCTCTGCCCCCTGCTAAAATCCATGGGTTAGGGGGCGCAAATTACTTGCCTTGCCCCGGGTGCTGACAACCCACGCTACGCCACTGATGTGTCCTGCCCTCCACACACACACACTCCTATTTTAGCTACAGTGTCTGATTAATGGGAAGGGGGGATCATTTTCATTTTATACAAGAGACTTTAAAGGCTTTGTCACAATTGATTCTAGATCAACTATATTTGGTCTTGACACTATTGGCTCAAGCTGAGGCAAATGCATACCTTTCCAAGTGGCTACAAATGCTTATCTACAATATGTGCAAGTAGATTTAAAGTACACAGGCAGCCTGTGTAAGGGAGAATGAAATGAATGCTAAGAAATAAATGCATTCAATATAAAACTGCATCTTCATTACAGCAAAAACAGGACATTGGAATATTGCTTTGATGGGTGTACACCTTGTTATGGGGCACCTGTGGCCATCCAGATCTTGATTGGACCCCAAACTCTCATCATCACCTGGAGAGCCACCTAAACACACACACACCCCCAATATACTGAAAACTTAAGTTTAGTTTGGTTTATCTGCATTATAGAAGATTATTCCCACCCTCTTTGTGGTCACATGTGGTCCAGAAATTTCTTGGAAAGCCCTCATTTTGTGTGTCTGCTGTTCTTCATGAATAACAAACTACTTGGCTTTGAATTCAAGCTTATTTGCATAAATAAGTTGATTACATAAATATAGGAGTGGGAAAAGGTTATAGGACTGAAGCCACCTCCTTTAGCTTAGAACTTGTTTCATTCTAATGTGTGTGTGTGTGTGTGTGTGTGTGTGTGTAGCAGATTGGTGAATGAGAACTAAACTTCAGAAGTCAAACTATAGAGGAGGGGCTTGACACCCCAATGTGGCTGCAGTGAGAATAAAAACGGGGCAGTTCTCGCCTTGTGCTAGCTAAAGTAGGTCAGTGTATAAATTCCTTTTGTCCTCTTGATAACACTTGGCCAGACACCTGGGTTTCAGCGTTGCATAGTGACTTTGCCTAGTGAAATCCCCATTGTACAGACTAGCTTTCTGGAAGTGAGACACCAAAGGCTTCATTGAGTTTGTCGCTGGATCAAAATACACTGCAGTGCACACCTGTGAATACAGCAAGGCTCATTTCTTACCTGCATTGCGTTCGTAGTCTCCAATAAACCGTTTTGTGAGAAATCTCACCACCAGGGCTGCAATTCATAATAAAAAAAGGTGCAGGTTAGAAAGGGGGGAAAGCAGAAGACACAATGTCATCTGCACTTGGTGTTTAAGGGCAATAACCTCCCCCAGTTTCTGTCTGCATACCCAATAACTCCACATACAGGACACCCGAGCAGGGAAAGCGTTTCAATAGGCTATTGGGGGAGTGCATCTTTTTCTAGAGTTACCTTTGGCTAGCAGTAGCAGCAGCCATCAAAACTTGGGATGTAGCAGTCAAGCAAATTAAAGGCTGCAATCCTAAGCATATTCTGTTGGGAAAGACATCCTACTACAGAATCCACTGCAGCTGACTCCTGAGTAACTACTTTTAAGAGTGGAACTGTGAGCAGTCATCCATGATACACCTTTCAGTCTGAAGGAACAGGCATTTAGGCACCTTCTAATATCATTCACCCCTCACAGGTTAAGGATTCACTGCTATGATGAAAGTTGCAACTACAGAAGCATCTTCAAGGGAGTGGGTGTTATCCTTTTAATGAGGCGTCCACATGTCAGGCTTGGGCAGCAGGGGGTGTCAGAGCTTTTGTTTGGTCACTGATCTTCATCCATTCCTGATCTGGCAGCAGGTGCTTACCTAAGAGAAGAAGGATGCTGCTACCTAGCTAGCCATCGTCTCTTTCTCCCCAAGTTAGAGGTGAGCGCTTTGGATCGCTGGCAGGGATGCTATCCTCATATTCAAACCATACTTTGGACCGGGCAAACAGATTGTCACAATGGCAGTAGGTTTGCTCCCTCTGGACTCTCCAGGGCGTTTCTATTTCCCGCCCCGCCCTTTTGCTACAACTGGGGAAGGATTCCCCCCCCCCTTGAATATTGGTATATTCATTGCGTCCTTGCAGTATGCCTATGTCCACCCCCGCCCCCCGCGCACGCCTTTCCATGTCGCCAGGATCAGCCCCGCGCGTCCCGTTCTCTTACCGGTCTTGCCCACCCCGCTGGCTCCCACCACGGCGATCTTGATGAGTCGGGGGCGGCCCGATCCGCAGCTATCTCCGCTGAGGGTGCTCCCTGCCTGGGGGTACTCGGCGATGGTCCCCATGTTCTGGATCAGGCGCATCGCAGCTGCCCTCGGGGAGGCGAGCGTCGCTGCAAGCCGAACGACGCCCAGCCGCGATGGGGACGGACTGGGAGAGAGAAGGCGCGACGGGAACCCGAACAGACGGAGAAGAAGCACGTCTGCTCTGCGCCGCCTCCGCGCTCCGGAGCCCCTTTTCTCTGGGTTTCCGCAAGCCCCGCCTCCCGGTTCCCGGGCAAAGCTCCGCCCCGCCTCCTCCTCGCTTTGAGCAGCCAATAGGGAGCTAGGCACCACCTCTCTCCCCACCTCCTTCTCCTAGCAAACCCGCCTTCCCGCTGCCCGATCCTGAGCGCCCTGGCTCCTTAGGAAGGCGATTGCTCTGCTTCCCGGGATGGAAGGGGGCAGGGGTGCCAACTTGGATAAAATATTGTGGGGGCTGACGGCCCCTCGGCGTGCAAGCTGCAGCGGGTTGCAAGCTCCCTCTTCTCTCTCTCTTTAAAAAAAGTTTTTTTATTCAAAATTAAAACAAGACATATTATCCAAAAACATATCATCCTTGTTTCCCCCCCATTTTTCCTCCCTCCCCCCACCCTTCCACACAAAACCCACCCACCCCCACCACCGACTTCCCTCAGTTCCAGTCTTTGGTTTCTCTGAGACTGCTGTTTTCTGCATGTTACAAAGTTGTATAGATGCTCAAACGATTTAGCTGATTATTATCAATAAAAAGTTTGTGAATGTTTATTCAAAACCTGCCAAGGAGTCCAGTTCGCTTTGCTGCGTCTTCAACTACTTTGGAAAGGGTTCCCATTCATCTTTAAAGTCACAGTTATCCTTGTCCCGTAGCAAGCTCCCTCTTCTGTGACCACAGAATCGTAGAGAGTTGGATGGGGACACGAGGGTCCTCTAGTCCAGCCCCCTGCGATGCAGGAACCGTTTGCCCAACTTGGGGCTCGAAACCCCAACCCTGAAATTAAGAGTCTCATGCTCTACCTTCTCCAGGTTGGAGTTGGCGTGCGACAAAATTCTGGCGAGCCAAATGGGATTCCCCCTCCCCAAATGTGGTTGGTCAGGGGGCAGCAAGATGACCTAAGGCAAACCGAGGGTGGGTGACTGGGGGGAGCGCCGCAGGGCAGCCCCCGCCTCTTATTTCCGAGCTCCCGCTCCAGGAACCCGGAATGGTCTGCAGAAAATTCGCCGTCGAACTCTCGCGGTGGACATCAAAGGCGGCCGTGGGAGCTGCTGGCATTCGGTGACTCAGAGAAAGTGGCTCCCTGCTGCGCTGCGCTCCACAAGGCCCGGAGCGTGCGCGGCTCGCCAGGCTCGGCACTAGGTAAACACACAGCCCGGCTCGCCTGCGTCCGTTGCAAAGGGCTGCTGGGCGGGCCACGTTGGAGTTTGCATTTCCCACTTGATAGAACACAAAAGGATGAGAGTCCGTGAGGCTGCGCGGGGGGGAGGGGGGGCGTGTTGGCACAAGCGCTGACATTGCTCCAGCTGCAACACCCAAGTACAGTGGTACCTCGGGTTGCAGACGCTTCAGGTTACAGACTCCGCTAACCCAGAAATAGTACCTCGGTTTAAGAACTTTGCTTCAGGATGAGAACAGAAATCGTGCTCCGGCGGCGCGGCAGCAGCAGGAGGCCCCATTAGCTAAAGTGGTGCTTCAGGTTAAGAACAGTTTCAGGTTAAGAATGGACCTCCAGAACGAATTAAGTACTTAACCCGAGGTACCACTGTATTTTGATTTCTTATGATTTATGTGTGGGACAAATGAAGATACATACAGAGAGGTGATGGACAGATGAGAGGGACCTGTGTGGGGCTGTATTTTTTTATTCTATTTGTCTTATTTTATTGTATTGTGAAAACGTTAATAAAATTGAAGGTGGGGTGGGGGGAGAGTAACAGAAACTAGATCAGGCCCATGGCTCAATTGTGGCGGTCAGAGGGTGTAATTTGACCCACGAAGGCATTTTCACATTACTGTGACTACCTGTGTTGGTCAGCTGATGCCATCAGCTGATGATGGATAGAGGGATTCAATCCTGGTGGGTGCTGGGAACACGCTGGCAAAGCAGATTCTCCACACACACACACACACAACTTTGACATGTCATCAGATTGTGCCAGGTGATTGATGTGTGGGTAGCCCTCCCCACCTGTCCAAGTTGAGCAGGGAGAGAGGAAGGCCCATAAAGTCCCCCATGCAGGGGCTCAGTGGACACACAGACAAGGAGTATCAGAGCCACATGTCTCTGGTAGGCAGGGATGCTGAGGCACGAGTGAGAAGAGCAACAGGTGCACAATTTATCCACCAAGCTAGTTTTTACACACAGTCGCACACATCCCTCTAGAGAGAGATGGATGGACCAGTCCAATCCTATGCAAATCTCATTAAGTGAGATTCACACCCAAGCTTACCGTCTGAATTCCTTATCAGCCTCATTTTCGAGATACAAATAATAATAATAATAATAATAATAATAATAATAATAATAATAAATTTTATTTATATCCCGCCCTCCCCAGCTGAAGCCGGGCTCAGGGCGGCTAACAACACTAAAATAGTGCAAATTTATAAAAATCTCTTCATTTCAGATTAAGCTCTCCACATGTGCTGTAGGAGATGTTGAGAACCAGCCCCAATCCATTGAAATTCCTCACGTTTGCTGGGTTTTGAGGGGTCAGCACGGTGGGAACACAGCGGCAAGACTGGCGATGTACCTCTGCTTGCTCTTTAGAAAGCATCATGCAGAGGCTTAGCTACCTGCTGTCTTTTAACCTTCTGCCTGCTTCGGCGCTTGGAATTTGGATCACCTGACAGCATACAGTGGTCACGTGACTGACAGATAGGTGGACCCACCCACCTGTCAGAAATGGTCCCCAGTGGGTTGATCAGTTATATATCCAACTCTCTGACTGAAAAATGTTCCACATCCTGGTTTAGACAGACAAACTCCACACACACACACACACACACACACACACACACGAGATATGGAAGCAGTTTGAAAGAGTGGTCTCTGCTTTGTGTGGGTATCCCACATTCACCTCTGGTCTTGCATGCTTTTCTTGTATCATTTCAAAAGTCTGCCTTAAGAAATGCACATGCATTTCTTAAAACTGAAATCTGTTTTAAACCAGGGCTGGATCTGGACACATCAGAAAAAGTGATTCAGTTAAACACATTGTAAACTTCATAAAGGGAAATCCCGTTGGCGAAAAGTAGGGCTCTACAGCGCCATCTGGTGTTACAGTGTTATTATAACACAGACAAAGCGTTTTTTCTTTATCAATGTAGCCAAGTCCCTCAGTTCACCTGCCCGAATGACTATTGTCCATCAATGCCCTGCAGCATGGATGCATTGTAGGGCTGGGCGATAACTGGTTTTCAATATTACAATATATTACCAGCTAAACATCGCAATATATTGATGCCTGCTGATGAAACTGAGCATGTGATGATTGATAATGTTGCCATTTATTCGTTTTAGACCCCTAAGTAGTAGCAGTTGCCAGGATATTGTCCTGTTCGCCTCTGTATAGTTCCATCCTTATTTCAGACATTGTGGTAGATTGCAACATTTAGTTGGTGATATTGTGAGGTTTAGCTGCTGATAACATTGCAGCGTTTAGCTGAGTTGTTGCGATATTTATCTAGTGAGTTATTGCAATGTTTAACTGGGTAGTTATCGTGGTGTTGAAACCCAGATATCGCTTAGCCCTTGCACACATTGTGATTCATGATATATTGGCGGCTCAAATGTTATGAAACAATTATCACAGTGTGAACTTCAAAACCATTTTGGACAATATATTGATATATCGCCCGGCCCTAATGCATTGGCCATGAATTCTTTTCTGTGTAAGTTGCTTTGAGGCACTTGAGTGCAAAAATGTTCCTAATGAATATAATTAATGGTCATAGTGCTTGCATTTAGCATCACTGAATGGAGCATTGCTTCTGGACTTCCAGGAGGTACCTAGCTGGCCAGTGCTGGAAATGTCTTGGTGAATACCTGATCTGAATCAGCAGGGCTCCTCATGTGGCATGTGATGTGCTTGCATCACATCAACATCTTAAAATTCTTATAATTATTGCACTCTCTTTGAAACAGCTTGTTCTGCGTGGAGATTTCTCCTAAGACCTGTGTGTTCAGATGAACAGTGGTTTGTGCAGGGCTGCTCACTCCATTCTGAGGTTTAGCAGGAACTCAAAGAAACAACGTGGCTATTCAAACATTTCCTCTGTCTCTAGCGCTGTGCTGTTGAACCTCTGAGCCTACGCAAACAAGCCATGTGAATGGACACGTGCCGGTCCCTCCTGTGTCGTTGCTGTTTTTGGATTCGTCCAACAACCTGCACAGTTTGCACAAATAAACACCGGCATCAGAAGCCGCTGGTGCAGCATCGAGTGCACGTGTGTTGCCTGCTTGCTTCATCTAAGCTGATGTGGATCAGCAAACCATGGCGGGAAGCACCTTGTCGAGATTGCCATATTTGCTGCTTTAGCAGAAAGCCGTCTCGTTCAAACAAGCCCAGAACAAAAGAAGAAACCGAGCCAGGGCTGAAAAGAAATTAAATACAAAAGCAGGGCAACTTTGCTTTGTACTGGGGAAGATCAGCTGGTCGGGCTTATTGTGTGAGATAGGATCTTCATTACGCCGAGCTGGGGGCCAGGCAAAACACACACATAAAAAAGCCAGTTGGCTTCTAGAGTCGTCTTAATAGCAGGCATATTTTCTCTTTCCACAAAAAAGGCCAACTAATGTTCCGCAGCTACATTAAGATTTTTATCACTTTTTGAAGCTTTTGCGGGGCGTTTTTTCCCTTTTCCAATTTTTCCTTCTTACATAACACACGCATGCTGGGCCAAGGCAGCTGCTTTTTCCCCTGCTGCTCAAGGCAGCCCATGTGCCACTCATATTTATTTTAAACTTCAATCCTGCCTTATCTCACCAAGAGGATTTGGGACAAGTTGCACATGTTTCAAAGCTTGGCTTATTTTAAAAGCACCGGGATGGGCGGAAGTCCTATTATAAACTCCCATTAAAAAATGTCTTTTTAAAAAATTATCCCACCCTTCCTCCAAGGAGTTCAGGACTTGTTAGAACCCAGCACCTCAATTTTATCCTCACTGAAAGAGCAGTCAGACTGAG